GTAAGCAACTTGAACAGTGGACCGGGCCTTGAACTGCAAGTTTTCCGCGAATCTAGCTTCACACAAAGCCTTGAACGATACGTGGCTACCGTGGGTCTTCCCCGCGGGTGGAGCTTATGCATCATACTCCAAGACCTTTCATGAGTTTACTAGAGAGAACCGTACTCTCATAGATTGCGATGTTTAACAATCAGACTCATATAGGTGCGTTCTTCAAAAGATATTCTGCAGGACAACATCTCTGCTTCAATGAGCCACTTAGAACACATTAAGATATACATCAACTTGCCATGCAGATTTAGGAGAGTATTGCATCTTCATGGAGTGGTATTTTTAACAGTAAGGGTACTCTCCTCCCAATTGACCAACACTTTGTCTTCCACATCTAGTTCACGGGATCTCCGATCACAAAGAATAGGTTACCACTGTGAACAACTCATATTGTGGGTCATACCCATCTCCGTCGATGCATTATCTATCACATTACGTGATAAACCCTTAGTAAAAGGATCTGCCAGATTTTTAGACATTTGGATATAATCCAATGCAATAACTCCAGAGTTTCTCATTTTTCTGACAGACTTTAACCTTCTCTGAACGTGTCTTGATGACTTCATGTTATCCTTTGAGCTGCTCACTTTCGTGATCACAGTTTGATTGTCGCAGTTCATAAGGATACCCGGTAAAGGTTTCTCAACAACTGGCAAGTCACTCAAGAGCCGACGAAGCCAATCTGCTTCGACCGTAGTTGTATCTAGTATTGTGAGTTCTGCTTCCGTTGTTGACCTTGTTAAGATGGTTTGCTTGCAAGACTTTCAAGAAACAACGCCGCCTTCATGAGTTAATACATATCCGCTCGTGACCTTTATCTCATCAGCATCTGAGATCTAGTTTGAGTCACTATACTCTTCAAGCACCTTTGGGTGCCCAGTGTAGTGAATTCCATAATTCGCAGTGCCTTTCAAATAACGCAAAACTCTCTCTAGAGCTTTCCAATGCACATCTCCTGGTTTTGAGACAAACTGGCTCAGTTTGCTAACAACAAAAGAGATGTCAGGTCTTGTAGCAATGGTTAAATACATAAGCGAGCCAATAATCTGAGAATATTTCAGTTGGTCTCTAGCAATTCTTTGATTCTTTCGAAGCAACACACTAGCATCATATGGTGTTGGAGAGGGCTTGCAGTCACTGTAGCCAAAGCGACTCAAGATCTTTTCCACATAGTGAGATTGAAGTAATGTAATCCCACCATCATCGTCTCTCAACAACTTGATGTTTAGAATGACATCAGCCACTCCTAAATCCTTCATCTCAAAACAACGAGATAGGAAATCCTTGACCTCCTTAATAACCTTCAGATTTGTTCCGAAAATCAGTATGTCATCAACATACAAGCAAAGGATAACTCCCTCGCCCCCACCATGGCGATAGTACACACATCTGTCAGCTTCGTTCACAACAAAGCCTGCAGCAGTTAAAGTTCATTCAAACTTCTCATGCCACGGTCTAGGTGCTTGCTTGAATCCATACAAAGACTTCAGCAACTTGCACACTTTTCCTTCCTGACCATCTTGTACAAACCCATTTGGTTGTTCCATATAGATTTCCTCGTCCAACTCTCCATTTAGGAAAGTTGTCTTAACATCCATTTGATGAACGAGAAGACCATGTGAGGCAGCTAGTGAAAGTAGAACTCGAATAGTGGTCAGTCGAGCCACAGGTGAGTAAGTATCGAAGAAGTCTTCACCTTCCTTTTGGGTATAACCCTTAGCCACGAGCCGAGCCTTGTACTTTTTAATAGTACCATCAGGCCTAAGCTTCTTCTTGAATACCCATTTGCATCCTATAGGTTTGCACCCATAAGGACGATCAGTTATCTCCCCAGTTTCATTCGCCAAGATGGAATCCATCTCGCTACGAACCGCTTCCTTCCAGTAGTCAGCATCTTCAGATGCATAGGCCTCTGAAATAGAACTGGGAGTGTCATCTATGAGATACACAAGAAAATCATCATCAAAGGACTTGGCAGTCCTCTGTTGCTCCTAGTAAGAACTTCATTGATCTCCTCCACATGATTTTCAAAGTGTTCCATCAAAATGGCAGGTTCAGTAATTGTAACTGGTTTCTGATTCAATGAACTAGGCATCTCCTAATTAGATGAGGTAGCCATAACCTTCATGGGAAAGATATCTTCAAAGAAAGTCGCATCATTCGACTCCATGATCGTACCGACATGCATGTCAAGTACCTCAGATTTTACAACCAAGAATATATAACCAATGCTATGAAAATCATATCCCAGGAAAACACAATCCAAGATCTCTGGTCCAAGCTTGCGCTTCTTTGGAATCGGCACATTGACTTTCGCCAAACAACCCCAGGTTCATAGATAAGAGAGCTTTAATCTTTTCTTCTCCCATTCCTCGAATGGAGTTATCTCTTTGTTCTTTGTGGGAACTCGGTTTAGGACATGACATGCAGTCAATATCGCCTCCCCCCACCATGCCTTGGAGAGACCCGATGTGTCTAACATGGCGTTAACCAAATCAATTAGAGTACGATTCTTTCTTTCGGCCACCCCATTTAACTGAGGTGAATAGGGAGGCATCCTCTTATGGATTATACCATGTTCCGCACAAAAAGCATCAAATTCATTGGAAAAATACTCTCCACCACGGTCGGACCTAAGCCTCTTGATTTTCCGATCAAGTTGGTTTTCCACTTCAGCTTTATAGATCTTGAAAAAGATCAAAGCCTCATCCTTAGATTTCATAAGATACACACGGTAGTATCTAGTGGAGTCGTCAATTAACGTCATGAAATATTTTTTCCACCTTTTGTCAAAACACCATTCATTTCACACAGATCTGAATGTATGAGTTCTAGTCATTGTTGAGGAAATCGTTAACTGGTAGCTGCTTGGTTGGCTAGCGAGTAGGGGATTAATCGGCTAATCGGCAAGTTAATCGGCCATTTAATCAATTAATCAGACGATTTTTTGGTTTATCGGCTACTCGGTGACCCTATGAGTAGAGATTAATCGGCAAGTTAACTGGTTAATCGGATGAATTCTTGAACAGGGGTTCTAGTGGTGCAAGATTTCTCGTTTCCGCAATCGTGTGAGACTTACGAGGTTGCTTAGCTTGCACACACACTTGACACTTAGATCCCTTGACAGTGGTGAAACTAGGGATTAAGTTCAACTTTGCTAATCGCGACATGCAACCAAAGTTAAAATGAGAGAGACGTGAATGCCACACATTTGATTCACTATTATTGCGAACATAATTAACAACTTTATTGCAAACGTCTAATAAGGATAAACGAAACAGGCCTCCTGACTCATAGCCTTTACCAACAAAGGTTCCATACTTGGATATTACAAATTTATTCGACTCAAAGACAAGCTTGTAGCCATCTCTACATAGAAGAGATCCGCTAACAAGATTTTTATTGACGGAGGGGACATAATGCACGTTCTTCAGCCGCACGATCTTCCCTAAAGTAAACTTCAGATCGACCGTGCCAACACCACGAACAGAAGCACTTGAATCGTTGACCATCAGCACGGTGGAAGTCCCTGCGGTCTGATAAGACGGAAACATGGGAATATCACCGCATACATGCACATTAGCACCCGTGTCAATTAACCAATCAGAAGAATGACACACTGAAAGAATAGTGGGAAATATACCATACCCAACATTCTTCATGTCAGTGTCTCCAATGACAACATTAGCAGTCTTGCTGCCTTTTCCAAGATGACGCTTGTCATAGCGATTAGGGCAACTAGTAGCCCAATGATCAGGATCTCCAAACACATGACAAACACCTTTCTTCTTGTCATTCTTCTTCTTGAAGTTCATGTGCTACACAACCTTGTTCTTCCCATCAAACTTTGCTTTACCATCAAACTTGCCCTTGTTCTTGAACTTTGTGGGGCTGGAAGTTCTTCTTTTGTACCAGATTGGCACTAGATCCTCCCTCAATACCTCGAGCACGTATGTCCTTTGCTCTCGCCTTTTCTTCCACATCAAGAGTACCAATGAGATCCGGAACGGAAAACTCCTACCTCTTATGCTTCAGTAAGCTTGCTCAACCACGGAGCGCTCTTCAGTCATCTCGAGTGCGTCCCACATATCTTTTCCATTATCAATTGACGTATAAGCATCAACTATGTTCTCACCAAGAACACTCAAGAGAGCAGCCTGTTTCAATATTAGATAAAGCATGACTAATATAACGGGGATAAAACTAGTCATGCGATCTGACAGAGATAAGGTAAGTAACGGCTCGGCTCAGCTGCGCAGCGGAGGAGGAGCGCGCATGGATGTCCCTCTTGTTTTGGGGAAAGAACCTCCCTTATAAAGAGGTCCAACTCCCTCTAAACTAGCAATGTGGGACTAAACTTTAGTTCCACCTCTTGTCTTGCACAAATGGGCTACATGGGCCTTTAGGATTTATTAGGAATTTCTGAAACTGCTATTGAGCTGGCCCAAAATACACAAAATTCCAGCAGACCAAACGGGAGCGCCGCAATGCTGCCGACTTCCACCTCGCCGTCTGTGACCCCCTGTCCAGCAGATACGTCTTGCTTCCAACCATACCCGAGGACCTCGCCGCCCAGCCGCAGGAGTGCCTTTGGGATTTCCAGGCCGTGCTTGCTCCCAACACCACCGACGAAGGCGAGGAACAGCCCTTCAAGGTGATATGCATAGCAAGATACATGACGAAGCTTGTCCTCTTTGTGCTCCCGTCCACAACCATCCGATGGTCTATGGTCGAGCCTCCCACTTCACCTTCGTTGGAACGCATGTCCTGTTTTGACTGCGTGCGCTGCTGCTTCTACTGGACACAGCCTTATGGCTGGAGTGACCATTTGATGGTGCTGGACACGCGCACTTTGAGGTTCTCAACTGTCGACCTTCTCACCGGCTACCATCTGGAGCTCAGCGATCTGCCTGACCAGAGCTTTGGTCATCGTCGCAAATGCCGTTGTGATGGGCCGAGAAGGAGCCCTTGAGATGTTTTCCCTTGACGGTCAACATGGATCCTTTGCCCTCTACCATACCTCTCTGAAGAATAGTTCGCAGCAGTGGAAGCTAGAGAAGATCACACAGCTTCCTGGGCAGTATCATTCCATTTGCACAATGCATGCAGCCGAGGGATTCTTGTTCTTCCGAGGCGCTCCAGGAGGTATTCATGTTGGGAATGTGGATTGCTACACAATGGAGGTCAAGACTTGTGAAATTACCAAAGTCTGCACAAAGATGGAGAATACCTTCAATCCTAGACGTGCCCTCCCATACTTTAGCTTCCCACCGCTGTTATCGGAACCAACTATCTGATCAACCGGTAAGCCTAATTATTTCAGTTTATGTTGCCATTGGGTGCAGGCTATGCTTGCTCTATTCGCATAGTTATATAGAGAATTAATTATTGTTCTATTGGGCTTGACTACCACGTCAAACTAGCTAGGAGAGGTGGCCAATCGATGGTCTTATAAGCTGATATGAGTACTCTGTATTTTCAAGAGCGTAGAGTTCACATGTTATGGTCTGCTATTTTTTATTTATCTTGCTTCACTGCAATAAGATGGCTATAGGATTCTTGGGAAGCACGAATAAGCTTTTGCACAGCAATATGTTCTTAAGCTATATTTTACTCTGTAATTTTGCAGATAGGAAAGATTCCCATTGCATCAACTGCAGTTGCTTCAAAATTCTACTCCCATGGTTATATAGAAAGTTAATTATTGTTCTATTGGGCTTGACTACCTTGTCAAACTAGCTAGGACAAGTAGTCAGTTCATGGTTTGATTCTGCATGCATGTTTTAACTCTCATGTATGTGATTGAGAATGCTAACTGAAAAGAAAGATTACACACTAGTTTCGACAGCTAGTTTTTATTGCTCCATATCTTAGGAGAGGAAATGGCATTCACGCTTGCATCAGTTGAACGAAGATGTTCAAAACAAGAATGTTGCATAACCTGTAAGTTGATGTTTGAAGGCTCTGAATCTAATATTTGTGAGCACTCCTTATTTACCATGTTCTGTTTCCAAGAACAGATAGGATTCACCTGTTATGGTGTGCCAATTTTTGTGTATATTGCTTCCAAACTGCAAAATGAGCAGCTTGGGAGCCTTCTTCCTAAGTTATGGTGTACTCCGCAGTTTAGCACGTGCCTCCTTCCTAAGAAGTTTGGATAGGGAAATTTCCCATTGCATCAACTTAATTTTTCTGATTAAATACATGTCTGCAGATCTGAGCTTGCTTGCTACTCGTTTTGGTCTTGCTTGGGCAGATGTTCAAGATTGTGCTGATGTGGTTTGATATCTGTATTAGTATGAATGTACTCCCTCCGATCCTTTTTACTCTGCATATTAGGTTTGTCCGAAGTCAATCTCATCCAACTTTGACCAAGTTTATATAAAAAATTGTAGACATTCACATAACAACACCAATATCATTAGATTCATCTTGGAATATATTTTCATATTATATTTATTAGATATTATAGATGCTAATAATTTTTAATATAAATTTGGTCAAACTTAGCAAAGTTTGACTTTCAGCAAATCCAATGTGCAGAGTAAAAAGGACCGGAGGGAGTAAGCAGGATATGATGTCAGCAAGTTGAGTTTGACCAACACTGAGGTCTAAGACTCCGGTTTATATTATGTACTGATGTTTGTGCTGGAAGACTTCGGTTTATGTCCCCCCTTTTATTCCATGTCCTTAGTCTAGATGAACACTGAATGTAAGCAGGATATGCTGTCAGCAAGTTGATGCTTTTATCTGCATGAGTGAATGAATTTGTTATTTCTCTGATTAGGATGCTTCTGATGAGTTCATATGTAACCCCTTGCAGTTTCTGGATGTTTTGTGCAAATGATGGCTGGCAGACAATTTTCAGAGCTTGAGGTTCCTCATAGCAGAGTAATTTTGTGCAAATGATGGCTGGTTGTTGTCAAATTGAGTTAAGAGCATCAGGTCCTCTATCAATATTCTTGGATATTCCAGAAACCTTCCTTTCCATGTTCAAAAGGCTGAAAACAGGAGCCATAAAAAGGCGGTTGATACCAGCTATTCTACTCCTTTCAAGGTTCACAAATCTGCCAGCTGTTCTAAACTTTCCAGGCTTTTCTAGCAACTTTTACAAACTTCTCTATTAGCACTTGGAGCATGTTCTCAGGCTGCTGCCGCCCTCTCCAGCGCCTTGAGCCGGTTAGCCTCCATGCGCGCATTCTGCTCCTCTGTTAGCTTGACTTTGCTTTGCTTGCTGCCACCATCATCACCTCCATCTTGATAATCCTTCGTCCCTCTTGGAGGCACGGGTTCCGCAGCGGATGTGGTTCCAAGTTCCCGTTGTGTGCCATCAATGATAACACCTCATCATAGGTCCGCAAAAATATTCATACTGACCCACAAAGTCCAGTCTAATGTGCATAGAGTGTACGTAGAGGCGCGTCTTAAATAGATTATAGAGCATTTGCAGCTTCTGTGTTCAATAGATGAATCACATGAAACTCAACTAATCCATGAGATTTAAATGATCATTTTATTGCATGTCGCTTCAATTGTTTCTGGATGAACTCTTTAAGGACAATATCACTCAAGGGCATTGTCCTTGTCTAGCAGCCATGCGCATAAGTTGGTATTCTTACGTAGATAGACGTAGTATAAGTTGGAAACTTATGAATAGTACATGAAAATTTCCGAAGGTATTGTTGTGAGCACATATGAATGCCATGTATTTGCTAGTTCGGTGTAATTTTTTGCTTATCTACTCCTAATCTGGTACCGAAGCAACTAACTTTTCCCAAGTGTCGTTTCTGAATCTAAACTGTCCTATAATCCATTCCTTCCTGTATCAATTGCTTTTCATCAAAATACTGACTAATTATGTTTGTGGCATTGGTGATGGGCATTCCGGAAGGTACCTCTATAATAAGCTTATTTAATGGGGGCCTTTTTCCTCTGTCCATCTTGCTCTGCTTGTATCGATCTATTGTAAGTCTGTCAATGACATATTCATGGCATGGGTATTGCTGTGAAGTGGACAAGCATGATATTTTGTGGATTACCAAAACGAGTTAGTGCTGTCCATTTTATCTATTCCGAATTCTTGTACCAAAGTGATAACTTTTTCCAAGTCGATAAACAACTACGCACCTGTTGCGGCTCATCTAAACTGTCGTACTATTGTAATCCCTTCCTTTTTTGTGTCAGTCGCTTTTCCAAGTTATATATGTTTGTGCCTAGGCAACGGCATTAGTGAAGGTGAAGCATTTGAATGATATATAAGGTGTTTTTTTTTCTAATGGGGTATACATCGCTGGTTGCTATGCCATGGTGACTGAAAAGACCAGTGGGCCTGAAGTTTTTTTATGCTCTTCGTGGGTATTTATCTGAGCTGGTTTACTCTTTCAGACTGTGGTTTTGCTTGATGATTTCTTCTTCTTCTCATGGAATGGAATCATTAACTAGCCCTTAGTGTGATTCATAAGGCGTTCGCCCTATTTTTCCAGGTTCCTTGATATGCTTCTGCACTAGACATTAATAATATTGATGGTCATTCTGCGTTGCTGGAAGGATTAATTACTGCCACATGATCGAGCCCCGATGATGCTTATGAAGATCGTGTGGTCGTTTATTTATTTATTTATTTATCAGACAGATGTTTAACTCTACTGGAAGTCAAGGTGTGACTTGATGAGACGTTGATGAACTATTTACAATTGAGGGGGGAAAAGGCCCTTGAAAAAGGGAATTTTTTGTTGGAGCTAGCTGTCTTGACAGACCGCAGCCATGCCGCCCGCCTTGGTTCGTCGGAGATTGCAGTGGGTAAACTAAGCTCCAAGGAAGAAGATGATTCCGGCATTGGACTATATCTCTGAATGCAACGCTACTTCACACAGATTGATTTCATGTCATCTATAATTCGCCGGCTAGCTACATGAAAGAAATTCCGCTATATGTGTAAAAATGGGAAAAATTAAAGGGAAAAAAAGAGGGGCATTGAGAGAATTGAAATCAGGAACTCTCGCACCGTAAGCGAGAATCATACCACTAGACCAAATGCCCTTTGAGTCAGATTTTGTCTTTGGGAGATAATATCACAGGTGGGTCATTTTTGTATTTGTTTTCTACTCCCTCTGTACCGAAATATTTGTAGCTTGGTTCGTCGGAGATCGCAGTGGGTAAACTAAGCTCCAAGGAAGAAGATGATTCCGGCATTGGACTATATCTCTGAATGCAACGCTACTTCACACAGATTGATTTCATGTCATCTATAATTCGCGGGCTAGCTACATGAAAGAAATTCCGCTATATGTGTAAAAATGGGAAAAAATTAAAGGGAAAAAAAGAGGGGCATTGAGAGAATTGAAATCAGGACCTCTCGCACCGTAAGCGAGAATCATACCACTAGACCAAATGCCCTTTGAGTCAGATTTTGTCTTTGGGAGATAATATCACAGGTGGGTCATTTTTTTATTTGTTTTCTACTCCCTCTGTACCGAAATATTTGTAGTTGGGGGAACTTCTACTAGTTTTCACCAACTACAAGTATTTCGGTACGGAGGGAGTATGTTCTTTTGTGGCGCACAAAGCATGGCAATGTATCTTGTTTTGTCTATATCTCATCTTAGTCAACCACAACTAATCAAACATAGCAACCTTTTGATAGATGAATGGATTCTTTCTTTTTCATGTATTTTCTGGCCTCGTTTGTTGGTTAGCCGGTTGGTGGAATACTTTGAAAATCTTAGTAGTATGATAGTTAGTGCAATAGGATTCTAGCATGTTTCATTTTTTATTTTCCCTCCGAGCTTTCTTTGTTCCTTCAGCGATGTGGTTTTTGTGTGACTATTTTTACTTGTTTCCTACAAAATTAGTGTCTTTATGGGCCTGAACGATAGGAGCAAGGCTTGTGTTCGGTCCATTCATTTGCACGGCTTGATGGGCTTAGAAAGTTGACATTGTGTCGTGCGTGAAGCGTACCAGCGCGGCGGACACATCGCAGGGAAACCATTAGCGCGGGTATGATATGTCTCGCTCCCGTCATATGGGGGAACGGTAACGTGCTATCTTGTCCAAGTAAGTAGGTTTAAATTGATGACAAATTTACAGATGGGCACAATTAAGGTCGTGTCAAAGGTCTGCTAGATATTCGATCGCGTTCACAAGTACTAAATACGGCAATCTTCTTTGTACCTGTCACAATAAACTCTTACCAAATCACGGTGATCCCTCCACTATAAATCCACCCCTCCTCCCTCGCCGAAACCAGCAACTTTCTTTTCCTTCACTGGTTTTATCCTCTTGCCAGCAATGGCTCGCA